ACAGAATGTGACACATTCGAAGAGATTCAAAAATGTTGCTATACCGAAAAGAATTCCCTTGTTTATCAAAAAATAGCATGTATAACGAACAGATATCGATGACAATTTCGTTTCTTTTTTCTATAACAAGGTTCGCTGCATCAAGTAAAATCGCTCCATTTTTCAGAGATTAATAAAGCGATGAAATACCGATGGCGATTTTATTTCCTTTTTTTTATAATCGACGTAAAACGTGAAAATTGGATTATCGGGAAACGAATTTACGCTGGTTTCCAGAATGACGAAGCAAAGGCAGAGAGAAGAGATTCCCGACAAAAGGCCGGGTATACACCCGGGAACTTGATGAAGAAAGTAACTTCTTTACGAGGTCAGGGAGTGGTATTTTCACTGATATTTCTGCAAAGGGAACATTCCTTTATCTTCTCGGAAGTTGCAGAAGCGTCAGCGTGTATAGAGAGCAGGTCAGCCCAAAGTTCCTGACATTTTCCCGGTAAACTACAATAAATTGGGTCACCCCGTAAATCCTCGGGAATACGGGTCGACGTAAGTTCTTCTGGTATCGGCTGTACATGATAATTAACGTGCTCGCCATTAATCATCCTGGGAATTATTTATGTTCTCTTCACAGATACTTAACGTGGCATTTTTAAGAGAATATTAAACGAACGTGGAAAAATTAACGACTTTAGGAACGTGTCTGTGACAGTTTGATATATCCATTTGTCATTCCGTATTATAAATTTCCATAATTCTGTCGATTTGTACTTACTATTGCTGTTGTTCTATTAAATTCAATTTTACAGGACGATCGGTAAAACGTACATCAGAGATTAGAAATGATAATTTTACAGATAAAAATAGGACGACGACCAGGGGTGACAGAACTGCGGTTTCAACTTCGTTCCCAAATTATCATGAATTAATGATCTGTTAATAACGGCGCGCGAGCCTGATGTGTGACTCCGCCTCCTGCGGTGAACGCCAATGCCCGCGCTCCCACTGACCTACCTCACGCGCGTCGCGGTGACGGATGGTCACGGTTTGTAAAGAGATATTGAATCGTTAATAACTCGAACACGAAGTCGAAATTGCAATTTCATTATTATTGTAACAAAACTTTACTTCAACTTTCTTTTTCTCTTTTTTTTAAAAAAAAAAGATCAGGAAACTTGTATTTTCCATTTGGAATTCATTCATCATTTGATTCCATCTTGGAAAGAACCGTCGCTCTTCCCATGGTTACTTAAACTTATTAATCGAAACACTCGATTCGGGGCACCGTGGCGCGAGGCGTCTCGCGCAGACACGGTATGCACTTAACAAGACGTTTAAACGGCCATTTCGCCGAGGAAGCGTGATGCACTTCTGTACGTCACGGGGAGTTTAATGAAGAAGAACGGAGCTGCTCATAAAGCTGAATAAGAGTGCAGGCGTCAAAGGATAATTGCGCACACAAATCAGAATGAAAGCACATGGCGGCGCGTTGGCTCCGCGACACGAGCCAACCACCTTCTGGAGCCGCGCACACGGGGGATCTAGCCTCCAGACTTCGCGAGCGAGCCAGGGCGTGGTCTTCGACGATCGATACCATAAAAAGCTCTCCGGCGCGCGTCCTGTGATAAAGCGCGCTGCTTCGGGTGCAGCGTGCGTGCACGCGTGCGGAACATTAAACGTTGCGAACGAATTACACGTGAACTTAAGCACTTCGCGACTTACGTGGACGCCCACGCCGGGCTGCACCTCTTTTCCTCGAGAGGCGGGCCGGCAACGATGGAAACGCGACAGGTGCGCAACACCGATTCGTTAGGCGCGAATTAATCCGCGGGAGTTCATAATCCGCTTGTGTAATCGGGAAACATGTGGGTTGCATCTGAACTAATCTTAAATAAAATATATAATAGGGGGATGCGTGGGTGGTTGTGAATGTTTCTTGATCTGATGATAGACATAGGATTGTATTGGAGATGATTGAAATGGTAAAAAAATGAAAGATGGAAATGACGAACAGCAGTTGCAAAATTATTAATTGATTTTTTACATTTATGAAGTACGTAAGTACATACTTGAATTCTTTGTTAGGGAATTTATACAGGAAGAAAGGAAAATATTCTTCAGTTGAGTTTCGAAGTATTTTTTCCCATTTCAATTTGTGACAGATAGTACGTTTGTATTTCGTCGGAAAAATCGTGATATGTTTTACCATTTTATTTCGGTGCCTCGTTAAGATCGCATTTCGCAATACGAAGAATGGATTTCATTCCATTTCCAGAACATATCATCGTGCAGTTGATCGCGATATCGTAAGGGTTGTTTTTCGTCGTGCGTGGATTACTCTCGATGTATTCGGGTTAATTGCTCCATCAATTAAACACGGATGAATATTACAAGACTAATGCACTCGTGTGATCGTCGTGTGTTCGCGTGGCCGCATGAATATGGATTGCCCGACATCGAATAATCATGGATCATTCCTGTGAATTACCGTCCGATAGTATGTGAAACTAATAACAAAGTACTCGCGAAAATACCTGGTAAATCAACTAATAATTGTAGTCTGCCGACTACGGTTTCATCATAGCTATAACAATATTAATTAACCGCTCGTTTAGACTTTAATTCGTTATTAGAATAGGCAATCGTGATAGGAATTTCAAACAACATTCCAGTTGTTGTTTCGTAGTAAATAACTTGAATTTTTGCGGGCGTATTAAGTCATCAAAGTATTCCAGAAAAATTACAATTTAAAAAACAAATTCGGTTTGTTACGATCACAATTCGCAAACATATGTTGTCAGGCGAAGTGCATTATTAAATTTAATCCTCGTCCTTATAATGCTTCCGCTGTAAAGTACATTTTCGGAATATTCACTGGCAAGTGTTAGAAATGGCGCTGCCATTAACCGAGGGTATCCGAGGCGCTCGAATTACTTGTATGCGCGGGAACGAATTCATGAAACCCGGGCAATGAAGACCCAATAAATATCCCCGTTGAAAGGGTAACCGGAAATCCGATCCGACAAGTATTCACACGACACCTCGGAAAATGAGGAATCTGCAAGCCCGGCTATTCAGGCCCCCGGCTGAAAGCATCGGCCCAGCCGCGTTTTATGTTTCGCCGTTGATGTTGCGAATATTTGATGCTACTTTACCTTGCGGCCAGAATGAATAGATAACAAGCGGCAGAGTATAACACTTTCCACTTCGATAATTCTTTTCGCCGCTGAGGCTTTAGTTTCTCGGAAGTATTTTTCCGTGAAAAAAGTGATACTTGCATACTTAATTGAATCGGTCTCCTTGGTTTCACCGTTGTGAGATGTTATCTCAATCGAACTCGCGCGAAAACTAATTAGGGAAATAGTGCAGCTTGCGGAGAATTAAATCGAGCTCGAAGAAACGCATAGGAGAAATTGCATTGGGTTGGTGCACACGAAATCTCGGATTCGTCTTACTCGTAAATGTTTGTACCAACCTGTTGTTCTTATTCCTTTGTTTTTCGCGTAACCTTTTAAACAGTTTCATTGTCTATTGTTAGAGTAGCATATTGTAAACAAATTTTTCTACATTCCGCATAATAGCTATTTTTTAAATATTTTTCTTGAAAACATTGATACCACTCTCATTCGGGTAATTTTCTTATATGAATTCGAACTTGGAAATATGCTGCGAAAACCGCTGAAAATATAAGGAAAACATTTGGAGGCAATACTGTGAATCAAAGAACAGTGCAGCGTTGATTTGCAATATTTCGGTTTAGTGATGTTTGGTGATGATTCGGTTTGCCGCGTGGCGGAAGCGAAACACTAGTTTATGACGATTTCTTTAGACTTTATTCATTCTAAAAATTCAGAACATTTTTGAAACGGCATATATTCATTAACACCACGTTGGAAGAAGTGTATTAAATGGAATAGAGTATATTTTGGTTGAATAAATGTCTTTTAGAACATCAAATAAAATTTCCCTTTTTCTGCAAAATACATTTCATATGCACCGACCTAATATTTAAGTATTTGCTGATTAATGTTTGCAGCTTAATAACGCAATATAAGGATTCGTTTCGAATACAGGATTAATGAATTGAATTTCGTGAAAATGTCGAGCAGAGAACGTTTACGGAAATGGGTATCATGTTTTTGGTTGACACAAGGATATCGATGAGAAAAAGAGAAGCGAATATCGATTTGCTGTAATTTATTGGGGCGCACTTCTCTGCTGCTCTGTTAAACGTAATACGTACTGAGCTGGCTGGACGGACTTCCCTTTAATTTCACGCTATCAATTTGTTAGTGGACTCGCAAGATCCTGGCAATAATTTATGTAATATTCGTGCGGCGAATTTACGTTCGGATATTCGGACATTTATGTTAATTTTAAGGCAATAAAAATCATAAATATGATCTATTCCGCAAAAATAATTTCAAAATAATTTGTATACAAGGGATTCTATATGAAAAAAGTAATTAAGCAAGGAATACGGTTCTAAGACTCATATTCTTAAATCGAGTTTGTCAAAAGAACCCGAAGAAAATAAGTGTTAGACGATTTAACAAGTTCTGAATTAAGATTCTTTTACAAGAGGCAGCAGGTGATTGGATCTCGCTACAAGTTCACGTGACTTCGATCGTCCAGTATTAAACTCTTGCTAATTTTTTTAGATCTTATTATTTAGACAAACTGTTAAGAATATATTGTAATTAGAACCATAGAATCACGATAGAGATTGATTTACTCCAACAAATATAAAAAGCACCATACTTTGAATGTTTTATTCCAAGCAATTCTGCATTTGCAAATTTTCTATGAATGCACACGAGTCCGCAGTTTATTTATTTCTAATCGGACGGTTTTAAATATGAAGAACGTTTCCTGGAAAGAGGTCAGGAGGCGTTGATCTTTCAGTTTGAAAAATTGTGTTAGTTACTTTCGCATATTCGTCGGGAGGACGTCGAGGCTGATTCATCGCAGTTTTGAATAATCAAAGAATTTCTTTCAATGCGCAGCACGATGCCTTCAGATAGTATGGATGACATCGAACTGAAAAATATTCAGCTTCAATTCCCCGCGCTGAGATACCTGTCGAGGGATGACAGTTCCGTGCGGGAGGAGAGGGTGGAAACCGACAAGGGTAGCCTGCTGGTCGCTGTGCAAGGAAACCGAGCGAAACCTGCCATTCTCACTTTCCACGACTTAGGCCTTAACTGTGAGTAATTCATATCTCGTTAAAGGTCTTCGGATCTTCGTGTGAACTCACATTTTCGTGGACGGATTTAGGGCAAGATTCACCGAGCATATTTTAGTCGAATACGAAGTAATATGGGAACGTTTTGGCAGGTTTTAAACCCTTGCCTTGTAATATCGAGTGGGAGATGAAATTTTCAAAGAAACCTAATAAACATAAGTATTACTTTTTTCTTTTAGCTCAAACTTCGATTTATCTTTCTCTTGTGAATATTTAATCTCAATAATAGGTAGACTTACAGTGAACACAGAATTCTTCTTTGTTGTAGTTAGTTGTTAAGGATAATGGAAATTCGAAGATTACAAATGAATTGTAAGGCAAAGGGTTAAATATCATTGATTCATTTGCTTTTTTCAGTATTTTACAATATCCTGTAAGATTCACAGTTATTTGATTTATTCGAAGATTGATTGTGATTTTCTTCTGGTGATTACTCTTGAATTAAAGTTAGTCTGAGAATTGTATGGGAATTTAAATTCCACGAGATGTTTTCATAGAGAATTATTTGACAGATATCGATTCTCTTATCTTTATACTGAGAATGTCTAATCGATCGTTGTTCCCAGATATATCGAGCTTCCAAGCATTCTTCAATTACATCGACATGCGTGTTTTACTCGAGAACTTCTGCGTGTACCACGTGAACGCGCCAGGTCAGGAGGAAGGTGCGTCAACGCTTCCGGAGGAGTGAGTACACTTTGCAATTATAATGAAATTTTCTCAGCGTAATTAAATTCGAATTAAAACTCCTACGATACTTTCCGAGCTTCTTTACATTCCTCATAAATTACACTGTGCCCAAACACCTGTAAACATCCATTCGGTATTCCATTAAACGAAATGAAAACGGAATCATAAGAATTCATGAACTGTGTCGTTACAAATTGAATTTTATTATTTGCTTTAAACAGATCATTTTACACTTTACAATCTGTGACCTTCGAACTGCTGTGCCTCGGTGAACGATCGTGTTCGACCAGCAACTCTGTTAATTCTCTTTAATGTCGTCAACAATTAGGCTAATCGGCGGTTAAGCACAGTAAGAATCGATTCTCGGGAAGTTTCCACGCGAACCAAGCGGAGTTTAGATCCCGTTCGAGAACTCGTTCGGCGTGCACGCGTCACTTGACCGCGACGAATTCAATTAGCGCGAATCAATGACCCAATTAACGTTCTAATTAGTCGAAGCCCCGACGTTCCGCTTTTACCGTGGATAATTCCGTGCGTCTTAAAGAGAGATCCCGAATTCCTTGCCCGCGCTTTGCCTCGATCGCAGTTCGTACTTGTACGGGTTCGATCTTCCGTCGACGGGTTGCGCAATCCGGTAATCGATCAGCCGCGAGATCTCGGAGCGTTTTCACCCTCTTGTTGATCAAAGTTTCCATCAGTCATTCAATCAACTTTGTCTTTGGTAGCAAATTGAATTAATGAAATTGAATTTTACTCTTTTAATAAATAATAATTGAAGAATTTAAATAGTTGTTCAACTCGAAACGTCGTTTAACTTCGCTTCGCGATTTATATGAGATTAATCTTGCGAACTAACGTTCATATGTTATAATTTATTCGTTCGTCTGTATTCGTAGATACTTTATAAATAAAATATAGTAAAATATTGTCGAAATGATATGCAGCTATTTTAGAATTTGTGTTTGAAGAAAATTTCTTCGAGCTGTTTACAGTTTATGAAAGGTAGAACGAAGAATGGATCTGTTTGATTGAGGAAACCATAGTGACGCGTTATTACACGGATGGCGTAGGAAAAACAGTTTCGTTTATGCGTTTCCAAGCGTGTATTGAAATACTCTGACGCAATGGTTGGGGGATGGTTTGCGGCGTTGAAATGGAAGATTGACGGTGCCTACGACTTCCGATTAAGCCGGCCTCAAACAATCGAGGCTCACCTCGATGGACGCACACGTAGCTAAACAGCGTGTTACAGAATGATTTAGACTGCATTGCAGATCTCCATGCAACGAACCTGCAAAACCATTTTCGCTCGCGTGCCAAATTCGTAAAATTTCATGTCAGACTCATATTTGAATACACTCTCACTCGATCGATAACGTCAGCGATACTTCCACTTCACATCAATTAGAAGAAAGCATACAAGTGCAAATGTAGAACGATCTGTTAAACAGTGAACAATAAAATTAATTGCACATTTAAAGGTTAACACGTTCGCTACCAGCACTTATTTCGGTGACGGTCTTCTCAGTTATAATATTTTCTTCAATCCAATTAATCTTCTACACAAAATATTAGAAAAATGAAACTGAAACGAGTCGTTGAGTTTATAAATATAATGTCGTAGTTTATAATTTCTAATAACAATATCTATACGATTAATTGCATTTTCATTCTGTAAAATATAGGACTACGACCGTCACAGATATGTGACGCTGGTAGCGAACGTGTTAAGAGAACATTTAGATCGATCACGCTAAATTTTAATTCTCTTGTTCGCGTCATTAATCCTTTACACCATTCTTTATAAATGTACAGTCACAATGCCGGTTTTACGAAGCTGAAACCAACAAGATTGAGATTACACGTTAACTACCGGTAGAAAGTATGAAAACTTGCCCCGTACCCTAAATTATTATTATACGCTTTATAATGCAATAGAAAATATGTCTTGTATATTAGTCTTGGGGCTAATACATGTGGACCAGTTAACTAGTCCTCGGTGGTCAGCGTGATAACTGTGACTCGTGAAAGTGTCTCAAATTATTAACCCATTTGCGCGGAATAACTTATCAGACACATAGTGTACTTTTGTGGACAAAATACGCAGTAACGTGTCAGGCACGTTTCGTACTAGCTTCTTAACTCTTAACGCACCGGAAGTATTTCAAATTTACTTACCAGCAAAAAATACCGTAGCATAAATAATAAGCGGAAACAAATTCACATAAATGACCTGGCCCAATGCTTAACGTGTTAATTGTAAATATTACAGGAATAACAGCGACAAAAATAATAAAATCAATTTCGCCGCCATATACACGACATTGGATCTAGTAAGTAAAAGTGCCATGCCGCTTACATAGCGGCATTGGTCCATTAAGGGTTAATATACTCAACGCATTTTGTCTATTATGTGTACAAAATGAATGCCGCGCAAATGGGTTAGGTATCCAAAGATCATTATGAAGCAATTAACCCTTTGCACTCCGTTGTCGCTGCTGCGACGACATTGTAAGATAAGTTTATAACTCCGTTCTTAATCAAATATAACTTTAAAATGCGTACGTGTTTTTTTAATGACAAAACCGGATCTTCAATTTTTCACACAGGCGCGCTCATACCCTTGTAAATACTACTGGAGTAGCTAGTAACTCATAATAAAAATGATTCGGAGTTGTTGGGTCATCTTAACCCTTTACGGACGAAGATTATTTATAATATACGAAACCTAAGGCAGATCCTGTCGAATTACACATCGAACGCTTAAATAATATAGAAGAAAGAAATAATGAAAGATCTTTTGCTGTTTTAGTAATTAAATTGTTTGTTTGCAACTTAGTATAACAAATATGAGAGTTTGATCTCAGCAAAGTGTCGACATTCGTCCGCGAAGGGTTAAAAGTTTCTCGAAGTGCAAAGGGTTAAAATTGGCGAGGCTCCGTCAAATGCTACAGAGCAAAAGGAATTGAGGTTCGCCAGATTTCGTAGTGGCAGCTAAAAACTGAAGAAAAAAGAGGTACAGTGAGGGGGAAATAAAATGGACCTGAAATATTCCAGCTACATTTATCCGTCCATGGACGAACTGGCAGAGCAGCTGCTCTTCGTCTTGGGCCATTTCGGCCTGAAGTCCATAATCGGTTTCGGTGTCGGTGCCGGTGCTAACATACTAGCCAGATTCGCTCTCGCTCATCCCGAGAAGGTGAACGCTCTCTGCTTGATAAACTGCGTGTCCACGCAGGCAGGTTGGATCGAGTGGGCTTACCAGAAGATGAACGTACGCCACCTGAGATCCCAGGGCATGACTCAGGGTGTGCTCGACTACCTGATGTGGCATCATTTCGGCAGGGTAAGGACAGCTGTTTTACGCACACGGTGCTGGAAAAGTCACTGCGCACTTTTACGAGAACTAGCGTCTCGAGCTGATGATGAGAGGATGATGAGCGTTCAAGTATTTAGAGTTGTTAACCCTTACGCAGTTTGTCAAAACTGCGATGTTGTGATATTTTTAGGTTTTCTTATTTTCAAAGTACAAATCAACGTGAGACTATGAACCCTTTGCCTTGCTGAGATTCGCGGCGAACATTTTAAATAAAATTTAACGAACGTAAATATTACTCAATTCCTTTGAGTTCAAATGAAATATTTATTATTTTTCTTTTATCAATTATTATTTGTAGGGCAAACGTAAATGTAAAATATCTGCAGAATTTTTCTCTTTTTGCAAGAAATTATTACTGACGAAGTTGTTGTATCGATTGCAGTGGAAAAATAAATCCTGGGGCAAGGGGTTAAAATATTGAGATCCAAAGCAGTTTTGCCGAATTTTCGCGAGGACGTAATCACTTGTGTAAAAGAACGTTTAAAAATGGTTGATGAGGGTCGGAAAAAATGAAGAAATTTCGCAACGCTTTTCGCAAGTTACTATTAAACAAGTAACTGTAGCTAGATCAAGTTTTGTTGAAATAATTCACAGGAAATTGTGTGAAAGGATTTTATTTTAGCTTTCTAAGAATCGATTAATTTTCTGTTTTCATAATGAAAGCGAGCTTGCAACAAGTGCACAGTGACTTTCTGGAAACCCTGTACATGCACAACATTCAACTCAGCGATTATTTTAATCTAGATAAGGCTTGTAAATA